GCTATTTAGGACCTATCTGGGTCATTAAAGTATGGATTCCACCTCTTTGATTGATATTTTAATAATAATTGTAACACTTTTATTTGATTATAACATGTTTATTAAGGTTCAATTATTACTAACTACTGTATTTTTTATAACGGTATTTATCGTTGGTGATAATATAATTTTTGGATCTATTTCCATATTAGAACATTTATCATTCATGTTATAATTAACTTGGGCCATAAAGGTTCATGGTCCCGACTTAAGCAATTTAGTGCTATAATTATTGTCATTGCGTGATTTTGAGTCATTAAGGGTTTAAGGATTACAATTACCATTTGAAGCCATTAAGAATTATAATTATTGTTTTGGCCATTAAGAATTATAACTATTATTTAAGTTGATTATGTTTTAATCTATTAATAATTTTCAGGGTCTTAACGATAATCTTAAGTACTTTTCATGGCAAACAATGTACATAGTTAATATATTGCCTTTCGAATGGTAATTTGGTTATACCTTAATTTCAGTTTCCTTATGACTCATTATAGTCATGGTTAATTATTATGTGGTAAATTGAGATTAGTGTTTGGCATCCCTTAATTACAGTTTTACATTTATTGTAATTATTATTAATTTACATTATTAATTAATGTTATTAAGTTTAGGGGCTAATCTCATTTATTATCTTTCATAATAATTATTCATTCATGGTAATCTACTATATTTGGTACATTGGTAAGATTACCCATGTCACTTCATTTTTCCATTATTATTATTATTAATGGTAATTAAGTGTTATTAATGAACTGTTACGTACCATTGGGCGATTCATTCATATTACTAGCATCGACGAGTCAACTAAACTCTCCGTGAAGGTGGGAGATTTTGGAGGCTTTCTTTGCTATCGAGGTTAGTGCTATCGATAGATGCAGTTTGCATCATTACGGTACACAAATCATTAATTACAGTTTACAATTTATTATTATTGGTAACTACTATTGTAGCTGTTAACCATTTTGAACTAGTCACATTTTATCCTTAAGAATATGGAAACATTAAGATATGTATTACCATGTTTGTCATTATTAAAATGTTCATAGTGATTATAATGCTCCTTATTACTATTAATATTTTAATTAATAAATGATAACATTTTTTTTTAAGTTATTAAGTCATGGATTGTTTCCAAATAGATTTATGTGGCATTTATTTTTCGGACTTAAATTGTATTAAATTTTGAAGTTATATCCGAAATAGTTTTAAAGGTTAACAAGTTTTAACTATTGTTTTTTCATATTTAGTCTCCAAATTAACATAATACTATTATTATGACTATTTATTGCTTTTTTGGTTTATTTGCAATTTTATGCTATTAATAATACTATTAATTGAGTTTTGGAGAGTGGTTTTGAATCAATTCAGATTTAGGAAAAACATGTTTTCTTGGGAATCTATCACATAATTTATTTATTATTTGAATTATGATTTTAGATGTTAATTGCCCACATTTAGTTAAGTATGAATAATTGAATACACATTTGGTGTTTTTCATACTATTTAGATTGTTTTATGCTTTTAATCACATTAAGTGCATAATATTAAGTTTAATTATGCAGTTGGGATTTGTGAGATTTGTTATTTACGAATAAAACATATATTATGGCTTGATATTTGTGAACTCGGCCTATTTCTCACAAAGTTGATTTTATGCAATTAAAACTTTTTCACGTGGGCTAGTTTTCTAACCTTTCAAAGTATATATCTATTATATTATTATTCAAATTTTGGATTTCTTTTGGTTAGAAGTCATACTAGCTTTGAATATTAATTGTATACTTTGAGGTTATTGCTCATATTCAAATTGTTTTCATTTATGCAATTTATTTGGAATATATGAATTTAATGTTTAATTTTATGCATACTTATCCACCGCATAATATTTTGGTTTTTTTAAATTATGCAATTTTATTATGCCTTTAGAAATGCATACTTTAGGATGGAATTATATTAGTTCCTTATTAAGTTGGAACTATGCATAAACTTTAGTTACAGTAGTGCCTGAATTTAAGCACGTTTAGTTCGTTAATTTAGTTCATTGATTTAAAGCCTTATCCATAGGTGAATCTACAATTTTATATATCTCCCAAACGGTTTTACTTCAAACATGAGAACGCATGACTTAGGGAAGTTTCTTGGTGATGAATACTAGTTCTATGGCCCTGGCTTAAAAGCCTTGTTGCTACTAGTCTTCTTGCGACGCTACTCTGTCTAATGAGTTGGTATTTAACCGAGCTTCGTCTCGACCAACTTTCCTGGGAGTATACCTAATAATTGTATATCATGTGTTGGTTTAATTCGTTTGTTAGGCTTTAACTTCCCCTTTTGCCAAGTGATTACAATTTATAGATTAATTAAAGAGTAGCCACAACATCTTTAATTTACTAAAAATTGTCTAAAGTTCAAATCACATAAAGATGGCAATGATAAATGCCTAGTGATCCTATAATTTTAATTAGTTGGGGAGTAGCCACAACATCCTTAATCAGTTAAAATTTTATATTGGGTCACATAAAATTTGATAAATGTCTAGTGATCTTATAATTTTAATTAGTTGGGGAGTAGCCACAGCATCCTTAATCAGTTAAAATTATATATTGAGTTGTTAGGGTCACATAAAGTTTTAGACATATTAATTGTGATTAATTGTACGTAATATGATGGAATTTAGCCCACAGGCAATTTCGTTATATTTGTATGATTAATTAGGATGAAATACTGAACTATGATCATAATTTAGCCCACAGGCAATTATGTATCGGAATGTAGTTTAGTAGTTTTATCAATTTTATGATGTAAACTTTAGGTCATATATCTTAATTTGCCCACAGGGATTAAGATAAGGAACATGATCTCTTAAGTTTTTTTTTTTTTTGTCATAATGGTTGTAATGAATCTAATTGAATTAAAACTTCAGCCCATAGGCAAGTTTTATGTCACTTGATTCTTCAACTCATTTGCTAATTGTTTCATCATAAAATTTCAGTTGGATCTAATTGAGTAGAACTTTAGCCCACAGGCAAGTTTTATGTCAGTAGATTCTTCTGGCCATTAGTAATTGAGATTAAAATATTATCATAAGGATTTCTTAATTGAATTTAATAGAATTAAAACTTTAGCCCACAGGCAAGTTTTATGTCAATAAATTCAACAACCCATTAGATAATAACTTTATCTCAATTTCTTAGAATTTATAAATTTAGTTCAATTATAATTCTAAGTTTCGTGGTTTGCATTTGCAAAACATGTATTTAGTCACTTCCCTAACCGTACCAAACTGAACCGAACTAGTTTGGTTCGGTAATATATACCGAACAACTGAACGGTATTGGATTCTTGTATACCGAACGGTTCGATAAAAACTGATCCGAATTGTTCGGTAAAAAATTGAACTGGACCGAATACCGTTTGATTTTTTTTAAAAAAAATATTATAATAATAATAATAAATAAATAAATAAAAAGTAAATCCAAGTCTCTTACTGCTTGCTCTGCCGTTCAGCTCATATTCTCACGGTATCTCTCATAAATGTTTTATTTGATTTTCTTTATGGTTTGTTATCAAAAGTTCTATATTATGTGTTATGGTGTTTACATAGTCCATATCCAAAGTCTAATATATAACAAAATAGCAATCCAAAGTTCAAACGGTATTCGGTTCGGTTCGGTTTTTATCGAACAATTCAGTTCGGTTCGAGTTTTTACCGAACCGTTCGGTATACAAGAATTTATTACCGTTCGGTTGTTCGGTATATTACCGAATCTAACTAGTTTGGTACGGTTTAGCTCGAGAAAATTGAACCGAATTGCCCACCCTTAAAGTTAATTACCAAAATGGTCCCTTGACTATAGCGAATTACCAATTTGGTCCCAAGTTAACGGTTGACTAACGGTCAAACAAACGGAGGACCAAATTGGTTAAGATTTTCAAAGTTGAGGGACTTAATTGATCCAAAAAAATAATCAATGACCAAATTCATAATTTTACTATAGTCAAAGGACCATTTCGGTAATTAACTCTTCTTATGCGAACCCAACTTTTGTTTTAAACATCATTGGACAAGAATATATTGATGCAAGCAGATAGAGCTAGCCTAGCGGGTTAGATACTAGATTGTATAGCATAGCCGCTCCTAAGGTTGTATGTTTGATTCCCTGCCCAAACAGCTTTGGTAGAAGAAGAATATATAGATGCATGTGTTCTCAAAAAAATAATAATAATAAAAGATGCAGATTTCAAGACAAAATAAATTAATTAACAACAACTCTCACAAATTATAAGAGAAATGAAATGACCATCTTAACACATAATTATGTGTGACATTAATACTAATTTGATCAATTATTCTTGTTTTAAAAATCCAAAAATGCAGCTAAAGCCATGGCGGGGAGGGAAATTTTAAGTGGGCTTAAGGGGCAGAGGATTGATTTTGTTTATGTGGAGATGGATTCTTTGCAACTTGAAAATGGTATTTGTGGGAAAGTTGGGTTCTCAATGTTTGGTTTATTAATTATTAATGACATTAAGGATTTTTTTTTTTTTTTTATTTTTTTTTTTTTATATTAGATTCTCTTTTACTAAGTAACTAGTAGTTGCACCCGTGCGATGCACGGCTATATATATACTGTGTATTATATTAAGTATAATATACTTAGATGAAAAGATATAGATTTTTATCACTTAATAAATTTGAAATAATGAATTTATAATTTTTATTGGACGTTATTGAATTCTTTAATACTATGTTTGTTGAACCCACTGCGATGCAAAGGTATGTATATATTACATAGAAAAGCCGTATAATACAATAAGAAGAAGAAAAATACAATTGCTAACCGAAGGAAAAATAGGAATAAAACATTGCGTATGTTATTATACATTGTTGAATACTTCATTGTACACAACATTTTTAGTCGTACTAAGACATGGTACATTTTCACCACAAATCAAAATTTTCAAACCCCTTGGGCTACTAACTCTTGAAACCGCTACATACAATTGTCCATGGTTAAAGACATGTTTTTTCAACAGTAATCCTACTCTAGAAAGTGTTTGTCCTTGACTTTTGTTGATTGTCATGGCATAAGATAGCATCAACGGTAATTGCTTCCGTTGAAATTTGAAAGGCAATCTTGGATCTGACGGTGTAAGGGACATTTTAGGAATTAATACTCTTGTTCCAGCATTGGTACCGCACATGATCTTGCCTTCCAACACGTGATCAGCTAACCTAGTAACAATCAACCTTGTACCGTTGCATAATTCGAGTGTGTGATCAATATTTCTCAAGAGCATAACAGGTGACCCAACTTTCAATGTCAAAGCATGATTTGGTACTCCAGAACATCTAAGGCCATTCAAGAATTCGGGAGTGTGCAAATCTGCTAACATATCAACATTTGAATCTGATTTACAAACTGAATCACAACTCAAGTATGTCTTTCCCTCAGCCGGATTATGGTCATTCATGTATTGGTTAATGCTATCTACGACATCCAATGTTGGAGCCAAAATTGCACTATCATTGAGGTATGACAGATCACCCATCCCTTGTCTAAACACATTGAAAGGAGAATTATTACCCCGCTTTAGAGCCAGTTTTAACCCTACTTTAAACAACATCTTCATTCCCACAATAGCATCCAACTCAGGGGGTACTTCAACATCAACCTGCCATTTGAGTTTGCATTAGTACATTACAGTAGACCATCTACATCTAAACCATAAGTTAATTTTAGGGAAAATAAATGTACCTCCTTGTATTTCTGATACAAAAGACAAGCAGGGATTCCAACCAGCTCAGCCACTTCTCTGTCCCAAAGCAACAGTGGGGCATCTCCACTCTTGTCTAAAGCCATGATAACCACCTTATACCTGACTGTACCCTGAGTATATGGCTTATGACACTTAGTACACACAAGTGATCCTCCGTTTTCTTTTAGTTTCTTATTACAGCCGGCTGACATGCATGATACATAGTACCACCCATCATCAAGATCTAAACCCAAGATCTCAGCAGCAACATAGTATTCCCCATCCTATAGTATACAAATAAAAAAATTAATTTATAAAACAAACATAGGAACTTTTTTTTTGAAAGGAGCCTGTACGGCATTTATTCAAAATATGCAGAAATAGATGCTGGTGGATCATAGTCCGAGTACATACTAGTTGACTGAGTAATTGCAGTAGATGCTAGAGTATGAGCTAAATAATTATCTAGTCTAGGAACATAATGAAGTAAACAATAATCAAAAGATAATATACTAGTCCTGCAACTATCAATGTCATAACCCAAGTACGATCTTGACGAGTGTGTCATAGATGATAAATATTGTTGAAGCACCAAACAATCCGTGAAGAGCTCGATAGACTTTATTTCGCGACTTCTTAGCCACGACAAAACTTCCTTGCATACAAAGGCCTCCGCCATTAGGGGCGAAAAACAGTCTATCATAGGGGCAGTTATAGCCGAAACATAATGTCCTTGCCAATTTAGAATAATGGCTCCCACCGCTGCTTTGTTTGTCTGTGGGTCGTACGCTGCATCGAAGTAACATTGATCCCTCATGTTTTGCGTGGCTTGGTGTACCATGTTCGGCGTTGGCAGCTGTGGTGTAGTCGGCACAGCAATAGTATTGGTTGTTGCCGAAGGGACCGCCGTAGCAGTGTGGGTGTCCACCACGGGAGCAGTCCGGCTGCTTGATGCCGCGGAGGTGGCCGGCGGACGCAGACCGGGATGGGCTACTTTCCAAGCGAGTAGTTTCTGTTTCTTACCACTTCTGTCTTCTTAAGGTCGTAACAGGTAGTCACAATGAGTCCAGTAGTTTTAAAGTCACTAATGCCCGTTGACTGTGAGTGCAGAGTGCCCGTACTCAAACTTTTCATGGGAGTATTTTCAGATTTCATGCTTCATAATAAGGTTTAAACAAAAACAGTGGTTAGCAATTTGTATACTCAATTGGTTTTTCCAGAAAATTGGCATGTGAACAAAGTTTATAGAAGTATGCCAATACTTGAATAAATTAATAGAATGCTTGATTCTAAACTGCCTATTTGCCTAAAAAGCATGCAATGTGTGTGAGTTAATTGCCTATTTGCCTTTTATACTAACTTTTTTTTTTTTCCAGAAAATTGGCATGTGATGAAAAAATAATCTCATGCTCATACTTTACTGAAATAATAATCACAAGTAAAATTGTTGTGGCATGTGATTAAAGTTTAATCTGATGCCCACACTTGTGTATTTCCCTAACCTATCTGTTAGTAACCTATGATGTCAATACTTGACTAAATTCATCGAATGATTTATTCTAAACTGCCTATTTGCGTAAAAAGCATGCAATGTGTGTGAGTTAATTGCCTATTTGTCTTTTATACTAACTTTTTTTTTGCAGAAAATATGCATGTGATGAAATTATAATCTGATGCCCATACTTTATTGAAAAAATAATCATAAGCTTATTTTTTTCTGGCATGTGATTAAATTTTAATTTGATGCCCACAATTGTGTATGTCCCTAACATATCTATTAGTAACCTATGATGCCAATACTTGACTAAATGCACTTTAAATATCTTCTAAAGTGCCTAATTTTTTTAATCTGACTTAGTGCTTAGTGCTTAAGATGTGATGCAATATTTAACTTGACTTGAACTGTATGCATTCTAGGAATACCTCGTTAGGTGTACTTAAATTCAACATTATGTACTAAAATTAAGTGTACTTACTTCGACTTGAACTCTAGGAATTCCTCAAAATCCTCATTGAACCATAGCTTGGTAGTGTCATATGAGCTGGTGATTCTAATCTCACCTAAAAAAAATAGAACCTACATATTAGTTGACTGGGATGAGTAATAAGCTGCTAGAATGTGCAGGAAGAGAGAAACTCACCACTAACCAACTTAGCACGACAGCACTGAATCACTACAATAAGTGGTTCTTTTGAATCACTATTGTAATACGGCATGAGTGAAGCAACGTGTTCATTCCATAGGGTACATGTCAGAGTGTTCTCACTGCCATGACATTAGTAGAAACCAAAAACAACTGCTGTCAGTATAGGCTAAATATTGATCGAAAAAAACACAAAAAATATAACTGTGAGTAGTAAAAACACAAGAAAAATTAGAACTTAAGCATTATCTTCAATTTGAAAGTCAATCAGTTTGGTTGCCTTTCCACCTATAATCTTATCCACAGGATTATAGATCTCAATGACACGACCAATAACATCTGCCAAATGAAAAATTTTTCAGTAAGATGTTAGCAGTTCAGCTTAACATAAGATATTAAAAAATGTAGAAATGAAGAGATAGTACCAATCAGTTCCTTGTCGCTCACATCTGCAGTGTCTTTTAAAGAAATGAAACTCTTTAATCGAAACATTTTAAAAGAAAATCCTAAAGTGTTTATCTCCTTCACTTCTGTTCTGTAGTTCAGTTTGATCATATACGCATGCTGTGTAATCTTGTACACATAATAATTTGTCGCAGCCATGAAATTTTTTATTTCGAACAGTTTTCCCTCCTTGAATATTTCTCTATATTTCACCACATCTTTTTTTTTTTTTTGAACGGTAGCATGAATATAGCTTCCCTGAAAAAAAACAAAAACAGAAATTACTCAGATATGAAATAGGATTAGATTAGTAGGTAACAGTGACATGATGCATTAAAAATAGATACCATTACCTCTTCATCATGCAGTAACACTTCCATACTCTTACTGCTGTGACCCTCTCCCCTTTTCTCTGGAACTTCGAATACCCTGACTGCTCTAAGGCGAACTGCCCTGAGCTGGTGTTGAGGTTTGATGTCCTTCACAAGTATGAACATTGACGACATTGTGTTCAACAAAATGATATTTCAAAGGCGCTGTAAGCAAACAGATTTTCAGAAGGAATACTTTGCACCAATAAGCCGATTATTTATAGACTTTGAAGCGTTGGATATTTCAAATGAATGATCAGCAGGTTGTGTATGGGAAATACACAATTTCTTTTTATGTATTAATTGCAGAGTAAAACTCTGCGTCTTCTATGTGTGTGTGTGTATATATATATATATATATATATATATATATATATATATATATATATATATATATATATATATATATATATATATATATATATTTAATGATGTGAGCATCTGTTTATTCAATCGTTGGTTATCCGATGATGCTAATGATGTTGTTTAAAGTACCAAGACTTCTACATTAAATGTATTGCTTGAGACGAAAGGACTGTAGGGTTTAGAAATTATAATCGCTTTAGAATACGAAGAGTTGCATTGTCTAAAACAAAACGGCTAGGAAGATTCCCAATGTGTAATTACATTAGTCACACGTACAAATTCAAAGAACCGGCTATTCTCTCATTTATTTGTTTGCAAAACGGCGTAGTATGCAATGGGCGGGAAACAATGATTGCAAAAAAGTGCACAACGGCGTTTTATCCCATGGGCGAAAAAAAATGATTGGCAAAAACTTCTTGCTTTATTATAGAGTTAGATATGTGAACCATGTTGCCCACTTAGCTATCATTTCTTTGCCAAATTGTACAAAGTAACTTGTCGCTCCACTAGATTTTATTTCTAATGTTTTGTATTATGGTCTTTCTTATTAATGGTTATTCCTTATTTTTAAAAACAAATGCAATTAATCTTAATTATTTGCGTTTATCATAGATTTCTAATCATTAATGTACAATCGAGTTGGTCAAGTAGTTCGCTTGGTAACCACAATATTTCGTGTTTGACTCCCTATATATGAGAGCAATTTAACAATATTTCGTGTTTGACTCCCTCTGAAAATTATCTATTGGTCTTCTCAATTTGATGAGCTTTACAACTTAGTATAGTTTATCTTCATGTGGTATTTTGCTCGCTAGAGTTACAAGACATATTTACTTTAATTTCCTAGGCATTTTCCCATAAATAATCAATGTATAAATGATCTATCATCTATCGATCCACTTATGTATGCATACATGATTGGATCGGAATTAGTCAAAAAGAGCTCGCACAGACTTAGCTCACTACTCACTAGTTCAGTAGGTCTTGGGAGAAGAAGGGTTGGAATTAGTCAAAAAACAAAAGAAAAAAAAAAGGTGCAATTAATACATATGGGAACTTGAAGTGGTTGAAGCAACATTATTGTTAGGCCTTACAATGGACAGCCAACCTGATCTTCATAAATCTAATTAATGTTGTTTGCTTGGATTTGAAGTGTGTACATGGATTGAGGTTTGATTGATGATGGCAAATTAGGCCCTGGACCCGTGTCCACAATGAATTGTGGACACAGGCCCAAAACGACGTCGTTTTTAGAAAAAAAAACGCGTCATTTAGTTAAAAAAAAAAAATCGCACGTGTTTTGCCGTTAACGGCGTTATTTTTTTTTTTTTGGATTATGAATGTGCCGTTATGAATGTACAGTTATGCAATTATGAAATTATGAACACAGAGCTCTAACATTATGAACTTACAATTATAAACATATAGTGATAAAATTTATGACTATGGAGCTTTAAAATTGTGAATATAGAGCTTCGAAGATTATGAATGTACAGTTATGGAGTTATGAATGTACAGTTATAGAGTTATGAATCTACAGTTATGAGATTATGAATCTACAGTTATTGATCGAATTATGAACAAAGAGCTCTGACATTATGAACTTACAATTATGAACATATAGTGATAAAATTATGATCATAGAGCTCTAAAATTGTGAACATAGAGCTTCGAAAATTATGAATGTACAATTATGGAGTTATGAATGTACAGTTATGGAGTTATGAATGTACAGTTATAGAGTTATGAACGTACAGTTATGGAGTTATGAATGTACATTTATTAACATATAGTAATAAAATTATGAACATATACTCTTATAACGAAGCGATCTGAAATTAAAAAGAAAAAAAAAAAAAAAAAAAAAAAACGAGATAACAGTGCCTAACGGCACTGTTACCTGTGTTCAGTATGCATGCTGGACATAACGATTGATTGATGATATATTGAAGTGGTGAGAAACTTGGACATGTATATATATATATATATATATATATATATATATATATATCCAATAGGCCGGGACCATCTCCCCACCACTCCCTATTAAGCTACTATCGATCAAAGTGGATCATCACGCTGTATAGATAAGTGAAGTTATGAAAAATAATGTTAAAATATATTCGTAAAAAGTATTAGTCTCGTTATAATTAATTATATATTTTGATTGACTGATCTTATTAGTTAGAAAACGAAAAAATAAATTATGACTCTTATTTTTTAAACTTGATGAGTTTAGAATTTTCTATACTTAATCAAGAACATTGCTTACTAGAACAACATACGCAAATTATGTTGTGCAACCGAATGCACCTTGCAAGGTGCATACGGTTGCAAAACGGCGCCGTTTTGGTTAAAAAGACGCGCGTCTCACTTAAAGAAGAAATCAGGTTCGATTCCCGGCAATAGCATTTTTATATATCCAGAAATTCATAACTATATATCCACAAATTCATAACTATATATCCACAGTGAATGGATGAAGTAAAAATCCACAATGAATGAATGAATGAAGTAAAAATCCACAATGAATGAATGAATGAAGTAAAAATCCACAATGAATGAACTAAATATCCACAATGAATGAACTAAATATCCACAATGATTGAACTAAATATTCACAATGAATGAACTAAATATCCATAAATTCATAACTATATATCCAGAAATTCATAACTATATATCCATAAATTCATAACTATATATCCACAGTGAATGAATGAAGTAAATATCTACAATGAATGAACTAAATATCCACAATGAATGAACTAAATATCAATAAATTCATAACTATATATCCACAAATTTATAACTATATATCCAGAAATTCATAACTATATATCCACAATAATGCTATTGCCGAGAATCGAACCTGGTTTTTTTTTTTTAAAGTGGGACGCACGTTTTTAGTCAAAACGACGTCGTTTTGCATCGTATGCACCATGCGCATGGTACATTCGGTTGCACAGCATAACTATTGAACAACATATCAGTGGACCAAGACTATAAGTTGGGCCAGGGCATGAAGTAGGTTGGGTGAGTAGGTGAAGGCAAATTATTGTGTGGACCATGGTCCATACAATGTTATGTGGATCATAACAAAAAGTACATTTTTAATATATTAAATGTACATTATTTTTGTGCTGAATGTACATTATACAATATAATGTATACTCAGAACAAAAATAATGTACATCCCCTGAATATAATGTACATTATTTTTGTACTGAGTGTACATTATTTTACAGTAGACAAAATATGGTCCTCACAACTTGTATGGACCATGGTCCACACAATAATGATTGGTATGTGAAGGCTAGCAATCATTATATCGTGAATCAGGGTTCACAATGCACTGTAAATTTTGATCCAATATACATAATTTGACCTCATAATGATACATAAACATAATATAATGAACATGAATTCTGTGCATTATGAATATGAATTTTGTACATTATAAATATAAATTTTATGTACTCCCTCCGTCCCATTTTGTTTGTCTGGTTCGGTTAACGAGGCTTGACTGAAGCTATTTTTACTTCAAATTTTCATAATATTAATTTATTTTTAGTATATAAAATTTATATATTTAGAAAGTACATTAAAAATACTATTAAACATAAAAAATCAAATTTAAAAATAATTAAAAATTACTAAAGAAAATACGCAATGAAGAAAAAATTGGATTGACCAATGAATAGTAAACATGACAGGCAAGATGTGACAGAGGGAGTATTATGTTAAGTGTTTATATGTCTTCATTATATCGTGTTTATATTTAACAATCGTTATACCCGGCACCACGGCGCACAGTGCACTGTGCGCCCCGCGCCTCCCAAAACGACGTCGTTTTGGGAGGCGCCGTAGGAAGTTGACATGATTATGTATATTTGTTTATATAATTATCTATATTTTTTATTATGTATATTTTTTTATACAATTATGTACATTTTTTTTATACAATTATGTACATCCGAATCAGGAAATTTTTGTGTATTATGTTAATAGTTGATGTGTATTATGTTAAAAATTTATGTTTATTATGTATTATGTTAGATTATGTGTATTATCTTTTAAAAAAGAGTGTGTGTATTTTGTTATATAATTATGTACATTCATGTATACAATTATGTTTATTCTAGTATAACATTACGTACATTTTTGAACATGAGATTTTTTTAAAGGAAAATTAACTGCCAAGCACTGGGTAGCAAAATTAAAAAAAAAAAAAAAAAAAATTAAAACGACGTCGTTTTGCATCTGGGAGCACAATGCAACGCGCGCCGTGGTGCAGGATATAAATTGCCATATTTAATTATGTGTATTATAAACATAAATTATATACATTATAAAATTAAATTATGTGTATTGAACCAGGATCCATAGTGTACTGTAAAACCCTGGTCCACGATATAAATTGCCGAAGGCTACTAAAGAATGTCGTGATGATTTCCATAGAATATATATGTCGAGAGTTGGTAGACTACTTATTATAGATGTCTTAATCCTTATCTGCACAAGTGTTAAAGGACCTTGTGAAGATAGAACTAATATAGGCAGGGACAGAGTGTAACACCCCGTATTTTCTTAAAATAAATTATAGTCCCGATACTAAATATTTTTATTAAAAATATTTATATAGCTATTTAATTTAAAACGGGCTCGGACCTATTTATTATATGAACTATTAATTTTGTACCCAAATGCCTTAAACCCAAAAGAGATTTTAATTATCTAAAGTCTACCTATTCATTATAAGCGCAAGG